TCTCAGACAATAAGATAGTGGCATCAGACTCATCGCAAATGGGTCTATATTTTTACGAATTAAATTTTAATCATATTTTCTATTGACAAGTGGGGAGAGCATTGCAATGATAATAATAAGTCGGTTGTATTCGGTAATAGTATTTTAGAATGTGAATAAAGTCTTTTATTGTTAACTATTGATATAAAGATTTAATAATGAATATCTGTGTTTTTCTCCCAAATAATATGTATATATATCATATAAATAACGATATCCAATTTACATAATATCAAAGTTTAATTTAATATATCACACGATTAACATTATCGCCTTAAACCGTCATTATCTAAATGAACAAGTATATTAATGCTTAACACCATAAAAAATAAATAACTTAAATTACGATATGTAACATGCATCACTTCAAATAAATTTAAAAAAAGTATCAAAACGATGCATAAACAATATTGAAAATTCTATGTATTGTAGAATTAATGAAATCAAAAATTTATGAAGGGGAAGTAACTGCAATTGATAATATAGGATAAGTAGCTCTTTGGCATGAGAGAGATATCGTAAGGAGGGAATAATAAAAGGGAGGTAATGTATAATTATATTATTGTTTTTTTTATTTGGAATACAAAAAAAAAACTATTCAAAGGGGGGAAATGGTAATGGTAATCAATTCTGGGAAAACAATCATAAAAACTAGGGAAAGTAGGAGATAAATTATAATAACAAAAATTTATCATTTGTATTACGGGGTATGTATGACACAGATGTTATATAAAATTGAGAAGAAAATATCTGGGGGAAAAAGTTAAATAACAATAATTAGTATACAAACAAATCAAATAAATTGGGTGGGGAGTGGGGAGGGGTCAAACTAGCAATCTAATATAGTTTTTTTTCCATAATTATACCCTTGACTTAGAATATATAAGAAGGGTATAAATTACCCTATATATGGTTAATGGGGAGGGGTCAACCTAACAATCCAATATAGTTTTTTTTAGAATTATACCTTTGACTTAGAAATATATAAGAAAGGTATAACTTACAATATATTAATTGAAATAATATAATAATAATTACCAATAATGGTTTAAAATTTAATTATTACATTACCTCAGGCCAGTCATGTATTATTTTAACATACTAATCATTGTTACTTAATTTAAATGTTAATAAAAATAAAATTAAGAGCCTTTAAAAACTGTTTTGATTGCCAAAAAAACGTGTTTACAAAATATTTCGTAATTATGCGAATATAAAATGTCCATATATCGAGTCTGACATCAATCTTTCTTATAACAAGCGTCTCTTCGTTCAGTACCATACCAGGTGCGCGAAGGTCGTATCCAGTTTCTTGGTACCCCTATCCTCCAACATATTGACAAGTGGGGAGAGCCTTGCAATGATAATAATAATCGGCTGTCGTCGGTAATAGTATTTTAGAATGTCTTCTCTTCGGTAATAGTATTTTAGAATGTGAATAAAGTCTTTTATTGTTAACTATTGATATAAAAATTTAATAATGAATATCTGTGTTTTTTTCTCAAATAATATCATATAAATAACGTTTAATATATCCAATTTACATAATATCAAAATTTATTTTATAAATCACACGATTAACATTACCGCTTTAAACCGTCATTATCTAAATGGACAAGTATATTAACGCTTAACACAATATATAATAAATTACTTTAAATTACTAATATGTAACATTTTCTAGAATTAATTCGTTTTTTTAAATTTTTTAAAACCACACAAATGGGATTCTGTATCCTTGAAGGTTTTGAAACTTTGGTCCAGGCCGGTGGACCTCCATCCAACTATTTTTAAAACATTATTTAAAAAAACGTATTTAATACCATTAAAAGAGACTGTTTTCTTTCTATTTATTTGTTAAAAATACCCAAAATATTCAACCTAGAGGTCTACAATGGGCAGCTTATTAGCCTACAAGCCCACCGGTCCAATATTTATAAAAATTTAACCCGCCCGCCCTTTAGAAAATTTTTACAGGCTTCTAACCCGCTCGCTCATTATTCAAAGATTTTTGACCCTCCCTGCAAATAATTTATAAGAAATTTTAACCCACGCCACCAATATAAAATTTAAATAATCTCATTCATTTAATAAAAAATAATAATTTAGTTTCAGCGCTACATCCTAAAAACAAAATTGATAAATTAAATAAAAAAATATTCAATTTAAATTAAGGATAAGGAATTTATTATCTAATATATACTTATCCATTAATATAAAATTGGTATCTATTGATACTAAAATCTTACAGGAATGCTAATTCCTCATTCAGAAGAAGCATGGTTACTGGAATCGCCAAAATATTTCTAGCTAATTTTGAAAACTTTGATAAATCTTTTTCTTGTAGTGTCCATTTAAGTAGGATATCCGCTTGAAGTATATTCTCTACTTAAGTGAGATATTTAAATAAAAAGTGAAACCATTAATAATGAATAAAAAAGGTAATTTAATTGATTGTTTACAAATTGTAAACTTGAACTAAACTAAGTAGCTATAATCTTGCTAAATTATGCAAAAACCTGTTACTTTAAGATTTAAATTTTGTTTATCATTAGGCAATGCTCTCCTCAGCAAAATTCATATCTTCTAATCTGTTTTTGTTTATTGACGTGATGCTATCTATTTTAACTTGCATTTATAATTTAATAATCTTTTATAGAATTCAATGTACTTTTGGGGAAACGGGTAAAATCAGATTTTCTGATTTATATTCTTCCAAGCAAATCAAATCCAACATATGTTTAGAAATATTTTTTACTTAATTAATTTCTTCCTACCACAGCATTAGTTATCGGTAATTTGGTATTAAAATAGTTGAAATTTCAGGATGTATCTTTTTTTAATCCTTACTTAAATGATCTTAAATACCAAATAAAAGTTGTAAATTTTTTAACCCTCCTGTCCAACCAGAGTTCAAATATTTTTCTTAACCCGCCCACCCACCCGATCGTTTTTTTTTAAATTTAACCAGCCTGCCCACTTAGATGGGTGGTCGTAGGCTGGTGGACTAAAAACCCGCAAAATGCAGACCTCTAATTCAAGCTATATTTATAATATCCATACCACCATTTAATATTCAAAATTCGATAATCATGTTTTATTATCGTACAAGGTGATCCAGCAAAGAGACTCATTAAGTTCAGCTTTATTTTGCATAGTGACATATAGTTCAAATTTGATATTAAATACAAATTCGATTTATTTAATTCTTAGTATATAAATTATATTGGTATCCGGGGATATATCATCTATCTGATGCAACCTCAAAATATTGAAAACTTATATTCTACTGCGTGTCTTTTCTTAAACATTTCAAAATGTGATGTCTGTCTATCCTTCTATTTTCCTTTCTCTCCTTCACCGATTTAGACTCTAACCAAAGATGATTTAAAACATTACATGTCTCTATAGGAGATAAGTGGTAGTTAACACTTTATTACTAAATCAATCAACACATTGGACAAACTAAAACTCTTATTAAAAGCGCTTGCTATTAACCAAACTTTTTTCTAACTAAAAGCATCTTTACCATATAAAAAATTATATATGCTATGAGATTCTCACCTGTTTTTAAAAATAAGGATCTTCTGGATTCATATGAACTTAAATTATTCATTGGAATCACTATTAAACTTACCATGGTGTCTGACTGGCTACAAACCTCTTCAATATATATTTATTAGTGAATTCTTTAGTTTGTAGGTTTTTTGTTTTCCATTTTCTAAATATATATATGTATGTTATAAAATTTAAAAAAATTTTTTATCAAAAACTACAAAAAGCTTTTACAATAATATGTTGATAGATTATCTCTTTCCAAAGGATTGTAGTAGGAGTTATCAAAGATATTTGTAAAATATTAAATTGGAGTTTATATATACATAGCAGAGATAAGCAGGTCTGGCCTTAAAAATTTTTAGTTTTAAAATATCCGAGAAGGGCGATATTTTTGAACCAATTATTTTAAATAGCTATTATTAGCCAAAAATTAAAAATAAATATAATATTTTTAATTTTTATAATGGCCCGGCCGAGAAATTTAAAAAATAAATTCGAACAGGTGTAGTATTGTAAACTTAATACCATCTAAAATAATTATTGTATTTGCAGCATATAAATGCATAACTTGGATTTATGTAATCTTTATTGCAATCAAATAAACCATTTATACAAATAATATTAATTATATATATATATATTCCGATAACAACATCATTAAAATTAATATAATCCTGATTGATTCTTCTTTTATATACGAAGATGAGGGCATAAATATTATTTTTATGACATTTTTCTAAAATGAAAAGAATTTTTTTGTTTTCAATATTAATAATATATCTTATATTTTAAATGATGTGCAGTATCAATATGTTACATAGGCGTATCCAGAATTTAACTATAGAAGAGTAGTAATTTTATATCGGGTTTCCCGCAATAAATTTTATTGGAGGTCTCTAAGTCCACTTATTGTAAACTTTTGACTATATTATGTTTTTATAGAAATAGTCTTGGTTTTTAATTTTATTTATAATAATGCTATTTTCTTAACTTTTTATTTAAATATTTCTTAACTTCTACTTATTTTTATTTTATTACTTGTAGTGATATATTGTATACATTTATTAGTGGGGGTGGTGCGGGCAAGTATATAGGAAGAAAATTTTTATTAGCTTGATATTTATAAGAATAGATAAATTTCCTATGAGAGGGCATTTTCCACTTTCTCACTCGTTGGTTAAGGCTATGCTATACTATATTATACAACCTTGTTTTTATTAAATTAATATAATATAAGGAATAGAGATAGAACGTGATATTCATCAAACTTTGATTAAACTTTAGAGTATTTTTTTATTAAAAATATGATTATGGAGGTTATTTATGAAATTGTTTTGCTATTTTATTTTTATAGGTTTAACTAACTAGCATCTAAAATTCTACTATAATAAAAAAACCATTCATTCATTCACCTCATTCACATTCGAATGCAACCAAAAAATGATGATGATGATGATCATGACTTCTTAGATTCTAAAGTTTTTATTAATTTAAAATATATTTTATGCAAAATTCATAGGTAAAAGATACTATCTTTTATTTATTGGTAAATAATCAGAAACAAACAATAATTAAGAGAGCTGGTTTTTATATTAATAAATATAGATTATTAAGTACATTGTAGACCTAACCAAATATATAATAAAGGATAAATCTAGATATTTTGATCAAATAATTAAAAGAGTTGCAGATGAATTAAACCAAGTAATTATACGAATAATTTGTTTAAAACAATATTATAATTAGGTTTTTGGATATGATATAACTTATATAGAATCTCAAAAAGGTTATTTATTATTCAACAAATTACCAACAGATAGGACTTTATTAAAAATGTAATACATTTAATTATTTTATTAATTATTGCTACAATTTAAGCTCACAAGAAAAAGAGACAAAATTATCATTAATTTTTCTGATTGCGAGCCATATTTATAATTCTGGAGGGTCAGTAACAGAAAGTAATCAATCATTAAATAGAAAATTTTTAACAATTAAATTTAAAAAATATTATATGCTTGACTAGAATATAAATCCTCAATTTCAATTAAAAAAGTAAGAGTATAATCATATTTAATTCATCATGATGCTTAGTGAACTATTATGAAAGAATTATTTTATTATATGTTTTTGTAATTAACTTCTTCAGTTTATATATTTTTTACAAATCTATTTAAATACATCAATTAATCATCATAACAATTAACTAATTTGATACAATTAATCATATTATTAATTGCCCTTATTTTCAAGGTTAATTGATTCTATTACACTTGAAAATTTTTATATTAGTTAAAAAATAAAATATAAACAGTAAATTATTAAAATATTGGAAAAGACATTTAGACTAAGATAAGAATTTTTATAAATCCTCACTAATTGGCACCTATTTAAAAAATTAAAAATGGAATTAAGCTTCTTATAGTGATTTGGAAGATAGTTGCATTATAAATGGGTAAATTATTAATATTTAAAAAAAAATTCTTTTAATAAGAATCCTCATATAGGCTAAATTAAAAAAAAGTCAACTTATGATAATTCAGAAAATGCTACTTTATCATATTATGTGCCAATAGTTTATTAAAAAATTTAATCAAAATCCTAATCCTCACAAATTATGAGCCCATCTACAAATATAAAATTAGAATCATATGATGGTTATTCCAAAAATGTTAATTATAAAATAAAATGGGAAATTATTAAAATATCCAAAATCACACTTTTTTACTAAAATAGGAATCCTACAACCAATAAATTATAGCCTTATATTAGACTTATTTTTTCAGGGTGGCCTGATTCAAAAATAAATTTATAAATTTTTGCCCCATCCTATCCTAATTTTATTTTTCAAGAATCTAAGTCTCACCCAATCTGAAATTTTATTTTAGATATAAGTGACCAATTCAATCTTAATTTTCAATAATTTTTTTTGGATTGAGAAGAGAGTATGAACTAGGAATATATATTTTCATTTATCTTGGATGATTTGCTTGTGAAAACCTACCTCTGTTCAGAGATCTGCAGGCCTGGTAGTGTTGTTAAATCAGGGATCCAAACCATAATGAATAGAAGTTCACATTTGATTAAAAAAAATAGACATACTGGTTCAGTGTTAAAATATTTTCACATACAAACATATTATAATTATGTAAAGAAAAAACATTTTTTTATTTATATATTATCCAAAAAATAACGTTGAGCTATGAACAATTAAAATATTTTACTAGTCTTTCAAATTATACATATGGCTGAAGAATAAATTTCATGACTGAGGATACTCATATAATACTGATATTTATCACTCCAAACTGATTATTAACTCATCTTTAAAAAAGTTAATATATCAAAGAGTTGAAACTGGGTAACTACATTTTTTGAGAGGCAGATGATAAATTTTTTAAAAGTTCAAGTTTGATAAATAATAATGGTTAATACCTGTTTAACATTTCAGATTTGGTATGAATGCATGTATTAAATTTTCCAACCTAAGCAAACTTCAAAATGGCTTGACCAAGTTTTTTATTATAAAAAATTTTGTTTAACTTTCAAGTTTATTAACAATTTTATTTAGTCTAAAAGCTTGGTTAAACCATATTGAAGTTGTTCAAATTAGGTGATTTAACAACATTATCTTCCTATACCCAACCTATAATTGCCTAAAAGGGGCTGCAAAAAGTATAATTTTAAAAAATTGGATTAAATTTAAAAAAATTTAAAATGGCCAGACTGACTTTTAAAAATTGAATTTAATTTGCTATCAAATAGTTGGAATATCAATGAATGCAGCAAAAATTTATTAAGGGGTGCATATATAAAATTTCCTTTACTTTTTCTTATAGTAAATTTATTTATAGTATTTTCTTAAATTTTAAAATTTTAGTTTTTTTTATAAAAAAACATCTCACATTTATATTACCAAAATGAATTTGCCTTATATTTTTTGTGATATTGAAAGCAGGAACATGGATGGGGCCATTCTAAAAACGTAACTTGGCAAAAATTATGGACCAAGAACATTCTTAGTTTAGGAGTTCTAAAAATAATAATAAAAATGTAATTTATTACATTATAATTATAGTATAATGGCTCATTCCTAGATATTAATTTTTTATTTTCTTATATTCAAGTCCGCTTTGTATAACAATTTTATTACCTAATAAACTATTTATTATGAGATTTTAAGAAATACGATTATAAATTTTTTTTTATTAAAATCATATTTACTTCTTTTATTTTTTTTAAACAATATATTCTTTTATTAAATTTTATAAAATAGCATAATATATAAAACAATATTAATATAAAAAAACATAAGGGGGGGGGAAGCAAAAAGGGGCTCTCATTGAGATCCTAGAAAATTAAGATAGTAACATTGGAACCCAGCGATTTGAGTTGATTGTTGATCACCATTATTTCGAACAATTTTTTTTACCAAAAATCATTTAAAAAAATGATATTAAGGGACATAGTAGTGTTGTTAAACGATTCAGCCAGTTTAACCACAAAGTTTTGAGTCAATTAGACAACTTGAGGTCTATACCCAAGGTTGTGCATTTTACCTGTCAAATAAGATTTGGTCAATTAACCTATTTGACTGGTTAAATTAATGTTTTATACCAAACTATTTTATATATTATAGTAACGAGTGAATTTATGTAATATATTTTTCTATAATTAATGCTTCTCTTTTTGTGGCAGAGTCTAGTTCTTATTTACTCAATTTTATCATTTTCTTTGTTATTTTTAGGTTATGATATAGTCTTTATCAATTTTCTGGTAGTCGAGATCTTCAATCGATTTCTTTTTTTCGTATGAATACCCCAAACAAACCAATTTCTTTCTGAAAAAAGTAGGGGAGACCATGGATTGTGTGTTCCTAGTATAGGTATTTCTTTCTCAAATAATTTAAATAATAAACTTTGAGATCTGAAATTTATGCCAAATGTGTATTTTAATAAGGTGCTTAAGTAAGTCTAAAATTGTTTTGGACAAAATTGCTCATGAAAAATTTTAAATGTTAACATACTTTTAAAAATTTTGAATTTTCACTAATTACTTTTTTTAATAAAAGTTGTTCAGATTTAATATTATTTCTAAATGATAAAAAAATCTCCATTTTATATAAGAATATTGACAATCATGTTAAATTAATATTCTAAATTTGATTTTTAAATTCCTGAGGGCCTGGAGAAGGTATTTGCGGGGTGCGTCTTATCTTTTTACATACATTCATTAAATTACCGGTTCTTGCAAAATGGTTTGAACATATGTCAGAAAAACAAACAAAGAAAATAATGATATATTTTTTTTTTGGTTTCGGCACCAATTTGTTACAAGTCCGAACTTAACTCAGGGTGTTAATGTTGTATTGGGAGAGCTAATTAGGAATCAAAGGTATATTAAATCTATATAAATAAAATAAAGGATTAATTTTAATAATAACGATTGCTAACCACTTACTTTTGAGCACACCTAAAATAATATAATGTAAACTCCTTTAAATAATTCCAATTTATTAAATTATCGTATTACTTTTCTCTATTTCGAAATATTTAGAATCTATCTGTCTATAATTAATTTCAGATACTATAATTAATGTAAAACAATTTTTCTTTTTTATAAAATTTCACTCTAACTGACTTTATTGAAAATTGAATCATATATATATATACATAATTATTTGCATAAATATAATAATTTTTCGAAGAAAAAAAATAAAATATTATCATTTACATATAAAAATGTAAAATCTAGTACAACTATTACTAATTTTTTGATGAATAAACATATAAAATTAAACTATTATTATTCAAATATAAAAATGTTAAATTTCGTACAATATTAAATTTACATAATACCACATCTCCCCTCCCTCCTTCAGTTCTCCCTTACCCCCATTGTGTTCGCCGCTTCTACCATGTTCCTGCTCGGTACACTTGAATTATTATTCGTTGTTAACTACAAGCTGGGACAAAACCGTAATTTATGTTCTCCACCACAGGCCCAACAATCTAATCTCCTTCTTGCACCATATGGGGTTGTTCTTCGATCCCCTCTTGTTCTAGTCGGAACTTCTTGTAACCACTCCCCGTATCTTCGACTGGCTTCATTCCTTGCCGCTTCTACCCATCTGTTTGATTCTTCTGAACCGTCAACGTCTCTTATCTCGATCCTCATTATCTTGTTACCAACTCTAACATATGAGGCCATCTAAATAAAATACTTTATACACATATATATATATTCTTCGAACTCTTATTTCTCTATAATAGGTTAAAATTTCTTCCCTAACTCTTTAAGTCTATCATCCCTTTTATTTCCTTCAATTATGATTCTCCCTACTATGTATATCATCAATTTATTTCTTTCTAAATTATGAATCTCTTAATTATGTCTCATCAGTAAATCTGATTCTCATAATTACGTCTTTCATCAATTTATTTCTTCTAATCCTTCGTATATTTCTTATTTCTCTCTAAGGCCCTAAGCTTCTAAGCCTTACTTGCTTCAGGTGCCTTGTAAAAACTCCTTCTTGTCCTTCAATCTTTACTTCTACTTTTTTTTTTCCTATATTTTTGCTTATTACACCCTTCCCCCATTTAATAGGCCCATCAAACAACAATACCCACACCAAACTTCCTACTGGAAATCTTTCAATCTCTACTTGTTCTCTCCTTATCACTTTTTCCTTTAAAAAATCTAATTCTGATCTCGTCTTTCTTCCTAAAAATATTTCAGCTGGTGACTTTCCTTTTGCTGTCTCCGTACTGTTGTATGCTAACAATGATAACCACCATTTACCTTCTCCATATTTTTCCTTTTTCAACTAACTCTTTATTAACGTTACCATTCGCTCAGTTTGTCCATTGCTTCTTGGGTAATAAGGTGGTGATAATAAATGTCTAATATTCCACCTATCACAAAATTTATCAAATGCTCTACCTTTAAAAGCTGGACCTCCATCTGATACTATCGTCTTCATTAATCCATATTTGCCTACAAAATCCTTTATCTTATCTAAAGCTACTCTTGTTGATAAACCTGAAACTTGCTAACAATCTATCCATTTTGAACCTGCATCTACCATGATAAAATATATTTTCTTCTCATATTCTAAAAAATCTACATGTATTCTTTCGCATGGAATGTCTGTCTTTGGCCATTTATCTTCCTTATTCTTTGCTGGAACATTAGCCTACATGTTACAGGTTTCACAGCTCCTCGCTAACTCTTCTATTTCCTTATTCATCTTAGGCCACCACATATATTCTCTTGCTTTATTTTTCATTCTTTCTATGCCTTGATGACCTGAATGTATTACATTTAAGGTTTCCTTTCTTAATTTATTCGGTATCACTAATCTATATCCTCTCAATAAACAATTGTCTTCTATATTTAATTCACTCTTAACTTTTTTAAACGCTTTATCTTCATTTTTCCATTCTATATCTCCTTTTAAACAAGCTTTAATTCTTATTAATTCTTCATCTTGTTGGGATATCTTTTCTACTATTTCAAATGTTATGGGTTTTTCTCTTGTATCTATTCTCACAGCTCTTATAATATTATCATTTACATTTTCTTCTTCTTCTACATATTCTAAACTATTGATTACTGGCTCTTTGTCTTCAATATCTTTATTAAACAATCTTGATAAAATGTCCGGTAAGCAATTTTGTTTACCTTCTCTGAATTTTATCTCAAAATCGAAATTACCAACTAAAATTAGCCATTTTTGCAGCCTAGGTGAAATCATAAGTTCCTTATTTTCCTTCTTAAATAAATCTACCAACGGCTTTAAAAATCTTTTTCCTATCAGATATTCCTTGCATTTCGTAAGTCCAAATTTCACTGCTAAAGCCTCTTTCTATCGTGGAATAATTTTTCTCAGAGCTATTAAATCGTCTGGATAAAAACAAAATAGGTTCCTCAACATTATCGATCATCTGTAATAAGGGTAGAAGCGGCAAGGAATGAAGCCAGACGAAGATACGGGGAGTGGTTACAAGAAGTTCCGACTAGAACAAGAGGGGATCGAAGAACAACCCCATATGGTGCAAGAAGGAGATTAGATTGTTGGGCCTGTGGTGGGGAACATAAATTACGGTTTTGTCCCAGCTTGGAGTTAACAACGAATAATAATTCAAGTGTACCGAGCAGGAACATGGTAGAAGCGGCGAACACAATGGGGGTAAGGGAGAACTGAAGGAGGGAGATGTAATATTATGTAAATTTAATATTGTAGGTTCCTTTGACAGCTATATAGCCTTAATACGAATTTAAGTTGTAGGAGGTATATTAATATATTTAGGAAACTAAGCATTGAGAGGTATAAATTTTTCAAAAGAACAAAGATTTTCAAGAGTGATATATTCACAGATCAGTACTTACTGTTATGAAGCTAAATTAACAGAATATTTAATTAAAGGATCAAGACTATTCTCAGGATTATGTGTAAACACGGATTTTAATTCTTTATTATAGCATAAATTCTCTGTAAAATGAATTTTGTTATAATCTTTAAAATTGTGCCATGGTATTTTCTTTAATTAAATAATAATAAACTTGAGAACAAATTAATATAAATTTTTTTTAATTATTAAATACATTATATCTTAAATGAAACATCTATGTTAATATTAAAATATTTTAAAGTAAGAAAATAACTTAAGCATTAAAATGATATGCAATTATGTGTGTATGATATATATTTAAATAAAATGATGCTGCCATATATATATTAATTTTAAAATGATTTATTCATTGATTTAGCATTAAAATTGTGCATTAAAATATATTTAGGTTTTTACCTATACATTGAAGATTTAATTATGTATGATATATTTTAACTAATTTTAGCAGAAGATTGTATATATTAATACTAAAATAAATTCAGAATAAAATTTAAGAATTAGGATTTTAATGAGATTGCCTTAATAGTAGAATGTATTGGCGTGTCCAATGGTTCTGGGTGGAGACTGGCTGAAGTTTTTATACATTTTATAGAGTATGCTAAACCCAGTCCTGAAATTATTCTAGATAATTAAATATCTCATCAATGTATTGAAGTCATTGAGCTCTGCTCTGACGACATTGTTTTAGTGACTCTCCCTCCCTGTTGCACCCATAAACTCCAACCATTGGATATAACCGTTTTTGGACCTCTTAAAAAATATTACAATAGTGCCTTGGATGCATGGATGAGAATGCAACCGGGGAAAATTTTATTATTCATGATATCCCTGGAGTGGTAAAGGAGATTCTTCCAAATGCTACCTCGGCTTCAAATATTCAGAACTTGAATCCTCGAGTATTTGACCCCTAAATATTTTAATAATAATAAAGATCTGAATGAGATTCAACTAAATTTATCTGTAATTACTTCGCAACTATCTTTCAATCATAGTCCACCTCCAAGTTCATCTTCTCAGATGGAAATCGATTTTACTATGATACCTCTTAATGCTTAGTTTTTTAAATATATTAATATACCTCCCATAACTTAAATTCGTATTAAAGGCTATAGCTGTCAAAGGAACCTTTGATTGCCTTTTGATTATATCATTATTTTCTTTGTTTGTTTTTCTGACATATGTTCAAACCATTTTGCAAAATCAGAAATGGTAATTTACTGAATGTATGTAAAAGGATAAGACGCCCCCCGCAAATACCTTCCTCAGTTCCTCAAGATCATTTAAAAATTAAATTTACTATATTAAATTAACATAATGATTGTCAATATTTTTATATAAAATAGAGATTTTTTTATCATTTAGAAATAATATTAAGTCTGGACAACTTTTATAAAAAAAGTTACTTTGGGTATGTTAAAATTTGCTTTTAAAATTTATGATGAGCTATTTTGTCCGAAACATTAATTTTTTGGTAGGAGAAGCCGTATTTTATTTGATTTATTAAGATCAAAGGAGGTTTAGTCCATAGGGCATGTAAAATATGAATGTACCTTTCGTCATATGATTTTGGCACTATAATTTGGGAGTGAGGTAAAAAGATGTATAAATGGGGTCATTATCAAAAATTTCGGCCAATTAAGTTGCGTACAATTTAAAGATGGTTGTGGGAAATCCAGCATTGTGATCAATTGAAACCGAGGAAGAAATAATTGGAAATCCGATATATTCCTTTTGCATTTTAAATATATATAATCATAGAGCCAAAGATTGTAAAAGAGGAAAGGAAAGAGGGGATGAAAATATGTAAGAACAACGTTAAGAATGTAAACCTAATTTAAAAAATTTGACCGATGGCAACCGTACTTACACACATTTGACCATAACGTGATAGTGCCCTTGGATTACTATCATATGCTCAAGAATGGGAACGGTCTTGAAAACGATAGATCTCTACCGTGATTCCAAGTGACCGGTTTTTTGTTGTTGTTTAACCGAATTTAATTTTTGATAGAGTAAAATACTTCTTTGACAAACTTACTGTTTTCATATTTCAAAATAAAAATTCTAAAAATTAAAATAACTTATCTAGAAAAATAAAATATACAAAAAAATATTTAATTAATAAGTAAGGAAACTTAAAAACAAAAGACCGGTCCGGACTGTGGTCCTCAAAAAGAATGGTCCCGGTCTAAGACCGATAGGACAGAACCGCGAACCTTCACTAGTTAATACCTTCGCCATACCAATAACCTTAGAGGTACTTCCGAATGCCTCCTATTCAAGTACGGATGAAAGAGGGGAGATATGGATATAATAATGAGTCTATCAGGCGTGCTAGCAAAGGAGATACAAGAGTAAAAGTACTAGGAAAAACAGAAAGGGAGGCCTCCCCAGGGACCTAAATGTCCGGGGGGGGCTTGACGCACTACTCGGTTCGGAAAACCCCTGTAACATAAGGACAATAGATCCGGAGTTTTGTAAATGAGGGCATCGTAATTAGCCAGGATTCTGTGTCTAAATTTTTTGATATCTCACCGTTAATTATAATTAAGGTAAATTTTTTCTGAATCATTATTAAATGTTGAACATTATGTTGAAAAATTGGGAATGAAACACAACTAAAATGAAGAAGTTATTTAATAATTTAAGAACATAATGGGTACAATAAATTCTATTCAAATTAAAAATACTGTTATTTCTTATATCTTAATCTCCTCGAAAACTACTCTGTGATGATTGAATCAATATAATCTACTAACATTCAATAGTGTTGCTTTTTTTAGTTACAGAAGGGAGGTTTATTTTAAAAATATTCTTAATAATGTACCGCTTTATTTTTGTTATTAACGTTAACATTTTCTGAATCACACTAAACTTGATTCTGATTTTCACAATTGGTGCCTAATTGGCTAGAATTCATAGATGAGTTTAGTCACAATTTTTAATGTTGTATTTTTTAAATGTGAATATAAGGAATTAATTAATCTTAAAGTCAGGGATATAACTAAATGTACTATCTTTATTATTAAAAATTGATTCTAATATATATTTTATTAGAAAGCCTTTGGAAGTTTTTAAAGTTATTTGGTATCCAACAAGAGTAAGTGCTATTTTATGATCTATTTTATAATCTATTTTATAATCTAATATAATATCAGTATTGAACACACTCTTTTTGGTGACGTGAAAAGATTGATTTATCAATTGTACGTTAAAGAATGTTATTTCGAAATAGTTGACCAAGACCAGGAAACTGAATTATATTTTAAATTTGGTCCCAGGTGCCTTCTAGAAATGAATAATGACAATTTTATACGGTTTAACAATGAATTGATACAACTGTAATAAATAATAACTCAAGAAAAATTATTGTCTTGTCCATTTTGTTAAACATTACTTTTGAAATTAGCCTTAATTACCTTTTTAAAAATATAGCCTTGCTACTTTTTGCTCTATTTTGTGACTCATTGTCAAAGTATTATATATTTTATGTTTTGTATTTTAAATATCCCACGAAAGGGTTAACGGGATAATCATGCAAAATATATTCCCAAATATGAGAAAGGGTTTCTTGTCTCCTCCCTACCAACCTTATATAATATAATTATTATTTGAGTTTGGTACGGCCTTAAAATTATAATATAAGCGCCATCTAAAGGAATTTTATATTATTTTAAATCTGCAAAGAAAATGTATTAAAAATGTTACAAACTTTTTTGGAATTGTTATTATTGTATGAAGATTAAAATTTATTGTAAACATTAGGGGAGACCTGGGGTAGTCTGCGCAAGGGGCTGGTCGGTTCAACGGATTTTATATAAAAACCATACATGTTTAGAAATTCAAATTTAATTATGTAATAGCTTGTATAATATGTATATTTGAATAAAAATATTTTATACCCCTCAGCTATTTAAATTTTTTTAAAAAAATGTGTTTTTTAGGTAAAAAGTCAAAATGTTTTTACACCACAATATTAGGTAGCATTAAAATGTGAAAAGTTTAAAAATAATATAATTGACATTATATAAAATTTAAAACCATCTTTTCACATTTCAGAAAGTTTCATAATCAAAATTAGGAAAAAATAAAAAAAAATTATTAAAAATTTATGTCATATTTTGTCATTTTTATATAAATATTTATATCAATAAAATATTGTCCATGAAAATAATGGAATAATAATATTAATTATTTTATAAGAGACTTCCATTTCCATGTATATTATTTGAATAATATTTTAATAGGGAACTTTTTATTAAATAAACTTATCAAAGAAATTTTATAAATAACCTGGCAAACTATCCGAAAGGTTAAAAAATTTATTCATATTTTATCAACTACTATTTCGTTTTACTCTATTTTAGATAGTGCCCAACCATTTTAAAAAAATTCTAAAAGTTTCAAAAAATCTGCAAATTTTAATAAAATCGTATTTTAAAATTTATAAAATTGTCTGGAAATTATGTTTTGGATATGTTAAGTGGCTCAATTAATTATAACCAAAGTATAATATTATGTAAACCTGGAGATTTTGCTTATAGGTGGCAGAATGAACATCTATCGAAATTTTGATACCTGGGTGATATTTTTTTCCCTAAATATTGAGCTCGCTTTTTAAAATCAGCTCAAATAGAGCTGTTTAACAACATTAGTTTTAGGCAAGTTTTTATAGTTAATATTATTTATTTTCATTAAAATTTCCATGGTTTACGATTAATTTTTTTATCTTTACACAGCCTTTACAAAGTGGAAAAATTAACTGATTGTGATGTCAGTGTTAATCATGGTAAAAAATCAAAGCATAATAAATTAAAATTCTACCAGCTGTTTTTACTGCATGCAGCTAAAAAAAGGGCAAAATAGTTCGCCTTTTGATTATAAAATAAATAAAATCCAACAGATTGAAAATGAAGTTATAATAAAAATTAAAAATGCAGAAATTAATAAAATAAAATCAGCGCTAGACAATAAATCTATAGAAATGAAATCGGCGATTACAGATCAAATCTAATTTAATTCTGGAAATTTATGGGATGATAAATTAAAAATAAAAAAAAACATTATAATAAATTTATAAATGAAAATAGATCGAAAAATTATGATGGATTTAATAATAAAATATAAAGGAAATCAAAGAAAAACGTAAACAGGTAAAATATAATAATAAAGGAGACGTAAATATATGGTTTTTAAAACGTAAATAACGGTTAAAATAAAATAAAGTAAAAATTTATAAATAAAAAAAAACGTATAGTACAAATAATGGATTCAAGAAATTCAAAATTATAATTAAGGAGTACAATTATCTGTAAAAAAAGGAAACTCAGGCGTTACTATAAATTAAAAAAAAATAAATACTTGATGGAAACACAAGGTGGCCAGCTATCAAACATAAAATTTTATTTAATGAAAATATTTACTTCTATATAAAAGTATAAGTTTATATATGGAAAATATTTAGTTAAATTTGAATAGAAGTTTACATTATTTCTTCAATATATTTTAGTTTATCTTTTTTTCTTGAGGGGTGAGGGGGGTGTTGGTCTGCTGTTTTCAAAAGCTATAACTTCACCATTGAGATAGTCCATGAATTTATATATAATATAATTAATTTACACATTCACATTTTATAATAAGCAGGGTTGGGTAAAATTTCAGAAAATTGTATTCAGATAAAGATAATTTTTAAGATTTTGTATATTAGATACAAGATACTATGGAAAAATTTCAATAAGATAGATAAATTTTTTAAAACTTTAAATAGTCAAAATCAAAATGTATCAAGCTATATAATTTATAAAAAATATGAAAATAAATTGTAGAAAATGACAAATTTATATAAGATAATGCGATATATATATACGTATTTTTAAAAATGTTAAATTATAGTAATGAAAATAACATCAGAATAAAAAATTAGTCAGGAAATATGGTTCCATGTCAATTCAGCGAAACTTTTATCGCGAATGTTGTTTATCGCAAATGGATTTTATAGCGAAACTTTTATCGCGAATCCATAATAGCGAATACTAATCCGCGAATGCAATATCGCGAATTTTTTATAGCGAAACCTTTATAACGAATACATTACCGCGAATACAATATCGCGAATTTTTTATAGTGAAACCTTTATCGCGAAACCTTTAATGCGAATACATTATCGAGAAATTTTTATCGCGAATCAATATTCGCGAAAATTTTATAGCGAAACCTTTATCGCGAAACATTTGAAGCGAATACATTACCGCGAAACTTTTATCGCGAACCAATAATCGCGAAAATTTTATAGCGAAACCTTTAAAGCGAATACATTACCGCGAAACCTTAATCGCGAAAATTTTATAGCGAAGTTATTATCGCGAAGACAATGTAGAAACAATTATTTCGCGAAACATGTATCGCGAAGATATTATAAGATTTTAATATCGCGATAATTGCTAATAATGACTTATTTATTTTGAATTATTTTTTTATAATTATATTATTTGAATAATATTTTTAATTCACATAGTTTGTAATTTTCTTTTAACCTTAAAAAATTTATATAATGATTAATGAACTTAGATCCGGTTTATGAAATTTGTTATTGAAATACACTTTTTTCGCTATCCTATCCATTTCTTCGAAGATCTTATTTTATAATAATCGCGCACAAGGAACTCAGCTTTATCAATATATTAATCATTGAGTGTTAAATCTTGATATTTACTGGCGAAATTGATATCTGGGTAGCATTCCTATTTGTCTGATGACTTAATATTTATAAATTTATCAATCAATTTTGGTCAGGGTTAGCAAGTCAGTCAATTGACCAGTCAAATGATTAGATTTTAACGGGTCTATTGCGGGGGAATATTTGACCTGGTCAAATGGTCAAATATTCTATAAGATCTGAATATAAAAATATGTTTGAAAAAGAAAAAACGATATAAATACATGTGATCACAATGCTGCTATTTATTGAGTTCCTAATATTAAGGAGAACATTTTAATATAGTGAATTTAATGAAGTATGTAATATAATAAAAGGATTAGGCATACAAGGTGGTGATCAAAATATTTCAAGTGTGGCATTACTAACAATTCCCAGATCTACTTCTTCTTTAGAAAGAAATTGGTCGATTTGTGTCAATAATCTTACTAAAACAGAAATCGATTGAAGATTTAGACAAAAAGAAAATTGATAAAAAAAATATTAAAGAAAATGATGATATTCAATATAAAAAAATATTTATTTGATTTTAACCATATTTGACCGGTCAAATGCACAACCGTGGTTTTGGCAGTCACTATTCTTAAACAGTGTAGATGAATATAGTCTACAACATTACTGTTTAGAATATCAATTTTGAATGGCAATTCAAAAATAAATTACATCTAAGTGAAATAAGGGATTTCCCCAATTTAAATTAATCTTATTATTTTACGATTTTTATAGATATCTTTTTATCTTTTCTGTTTATTTGAAGGGGGATGGGCGTGATAAAAATTTTAGTATAATATCTCGGCATTAATTTCAATTAATTTAATAATATTTTGATATGGGTTCTTATTGAATCATTAATAATTTTAAAATAAAATAAAAAAAATAGCTACACTAAAAATTAACAAATAATTAATGACATATTTGATAAATTATAACTATTAAAAAAAAGTATTGCCGAAATTTAAAAAAAAAAATTTTCTCGTCTGGCTGGTTCCATTCCGTTGGTTATAAATTATAAATATTTTCGCCATTCTTTCCTCTTTATTTCGGAGTCTTATAAAATATGTTATCAAGCAAAAATAAGGAGATCTTAACCTTTAAAAATTATTTGTTCCGCCTGGAAAAAGTAGTCTCAGATACAAATTATTATAGATGCCTTAATCAAGATATATTTAAATGTCCCGTACGACTTACAAAAAAAATGGTAAGATAAAAGATAATAAAGAAATACACAATCATCCAGAAAACAAATCGAAATGGAAACCATGAAAATAATCAATTCAATTAAGAATGAAGCTTTGAATAATACTATAGAAACTCCAAACTTTATTGTGGCGAAACACGTATCTCAATTAAGTGATTCCATATCAATGGCACTACCATCACCGAATCTTATGAAACGTATAATTCACCGAACGCGGAGTTCAAACAGTTTTGCACCTCCGAATCCAAGCAGCCTTATTAAGCTGGTAATTCCCCATGAATATTCAATTACAGATAAGTATGAGGATTTCATACTTCATGATGATGGTCCGGTAAGATTTTCTATAAATTTTTTGAACAAATATAACTAAATCCTTCATTTTTATTGCGATAAGCTGCCCTATAAAAAACACTTTATTATAATTGCTTATTTATTTATTATGTATGCTAGGTTCCCGACCGTGTTATATCTGAAACAAGAAAAAATTTGGACTTCTTAGTTTCATGCGAACATGGGTTTTCTGATGGTACATTTAAATCGTCGCCACCTTTATCGCAAATTTATACAATTCATGGGATTAAAAATAATAATGTTTTACCTCTCATATATATATTGACCAATAGAAAGGATTATGAAACATATAAAAGAATATTTACTATTATGTGAACTTAATATCAACTCCAAAAAAAATTATGACGGATTTTGAAATAAGTGTAAAAGCTTTTAATGAAGTGTTTCCCAGTTCGCAACACAAATGTTGCTATTTCCATTTTGGCCAATCCTTTTGGCGAAACATTCAAAAATATCCAGAAATATAAAACAGATGTGGAATTTAATATACAACTTAGAATGATGGTTTGCTTGGCATTTGTGTCACCCTTAAATGTATTTGAAACATTTGAATTACTAATAAACTCCGAATTTTATTCTAATAATCAATTGTTACTTCAGCCTCCAATTGAAACTTTTGAAAAAGCTTATATTGGTAAAACGTT